GAAGCGGCGCCATTGGCCGAAAGCGGGCTGGGCGTGTTCCAGGGCGTCTTCAGAAATTCGAATGTGACCAACCAGAAGCCGGAAATAATACCCTGGCGGTGGTCGCAAGAAACAAACCTGATAACTGCATTGGAGTAACTCTCGATGGCTGAAAATATGGTACACGTGATGTTTCAATCACACTCATCTGAAATGATGGTGGAAGAGTGCGACTAGCGGAAAGATCGAAATAATCCTTACGCCAAACGCCGAGCGCCGGGAATCTGCCGTCAGAGCGGTCACACTCTGTCCGCGCAAAACAGAGTTGAGCGGCGCATTCGTTTCTTACATCTTTCTGCATGATCATGATGAAACAACACATGCACCCTATTTTTAACCACAAAGAGTTACTATACTTCACTCTTACGCACTTATTAAAACCATATACGAACATAGACCTTCGATGGTCGATCGGCTCAGAATTGTTTCTCGCTACCACCGCTAGGGGATTCTTTTCGGCTTCTGGTTGGTCAAGAGAGCATGCCAAGCCCTCTTTCCGAGTCTGCCGCACACCCTGGCTCTGCCCGCGCCTCCCATTGACCAAACTCTCTACATATACGGCTCTGTAGCGGTAGTGTGATTGTACTAGACAAAACTCTCACCTCGAGCCTTTTCGACTAAGCGGTAACTAGCGCCACCTCGTTTCGGAACCTTTATTATAAGTTGTTTAACAGTGCAATAAATGATATTTTAAAGAGTGATAACCGTTGCCTATTAGTCTAAACCAAATAAGACAATTTTCAGCTTGTTGCAAACAACTTTTGTTGTTGTTTACAGAATCGTAACTTTAGATTTACGGACAAGTCAACCGTATTTCAGATTACGGATGCTTCTCCGTAGCTTTTAATGAGAAGTTCTACGTTTTTTTACGGAACGTTTTTACCGTGCACCTGGGGCTACCCTCGCGACACACCTAAGGGGCGCAAGCTACAGACTTTGATCCAACAACGCAATTTCACTCTACTTACTGATCCATCGACACCTACACGTCTTGGCATCAGCGTTGCACGCGACACGTGTCCTGACCTCACCCTGTACCGTGACACAAAACCCTGCACCTGGCACAACCTTGAGGAACAGCTCGGCAGTGACCATTGCATTCTCGTCACCCATATCAACACTAGAGACTTCGCGGGGGAGGCACGCAAAATCCGCATCACGGACTGGCCTGCCTTCCGCGCATCTTCCTCACCTACCTCGCCCGACACACTCACTGATTGGGTGCAGACACTGCAAACCTGGCTAGACCGACACACGCGCACCCTTACCACCACTCCTGATGCGCCGGATATAGACTCACACCTTCTTCACCTATAGGAAGCGCGCCCCGGCCTAACCAAACGGTTGCGACGTTAACGACACAACCGGAAGCTCAATCTACACATTGCACAACTCAATGTAGAAGCTGCTACCTATGCTGCCACCCTCACTGGTCAAAACTGGAATACGTTCTGCGACAAGCTCAATGGTAAGCTCGGTACTGCACGAACATGGTTCCTGCTAAGTCATCTAATACAACCAGGCCAAGCCCAATCGGCCAGGGCCAAGGGCATTCACAAACTTCTCCACGGCACTAACCTAACAGACTCCGAATACCTCACACAGCTACGACAGCGTTACCTTCCCCCTCCTGACACTCCACGCTACGCGGACTACACGGATCCCCCCAACAATCTTTCTTACCTTAACGCGCCCATCACGTACATTGACGTTCGCACCGCACTCACCGACATTCACCGCAACAGATCCCCTCGTCCTGACAAGATTCGCTACTCTCTCTCTGTACAACCTCTCTGATTCCAACACCACTCAACTTAATACCTACTTGAATGAGGTGTGGGAATCAGGTATCCTTCCCAAGGAATTGAAGGAAGCCACAGTCGTTCTGATTCCTAAGCCTGGCAAACCCCTCTTTTCGGAGAACCTGCGCCCGATTCCCCTTACCTCAAATCTGTGCAAACTGCTCAAAAAGGTTCTACAGCTTCGCCCACATAATTTTTTTGCCGACACCTCCGCCCTTTCGCACAGCCAATATGGCTATCGTATTGGTATTTCCAATCAGGATGTACTGCTCGGCCTCAAACACGAAGTTCTAGAGGCTCCGAGCAATGCTCAATATCGCGCTGTCCTTGCCGCAGATCTTAAAGGAGCCTTTGACAACCTGTCCCACGACCTGGTCCTTGAACAGTTGGCAGCCACTGGCTGCGGAGCGAAGGTGTATAATTACATCCGCAATTTCCTCCGCGACAGGTCTGCCAGCCTCGTTCTTGATCACCTTCGCTCCCCCTCCGCTCCGGTGGCAAACCGTGGTACTCCGCAAGGCTCTGTACTCTATTCCCTCCTGTTTAACCTTGCTATGCAAGGTCTCCCTCTTCTTCTGGGTGAGGTCTCAGATGTCCGTCATGCACTTTATGCGGATGACATTACTGTCTGGGTAACGACAGGCTCCCTCGGACACATCGAAACTCAGTTACAGGAAGCTGCTACTACCATCGAGCAATACGCCCGGCGTGGGGGCCTCACATGCTCCCCCACTAAGTCCGAGTTACTAGTCGTGACAAAACACGCTCGCGGACAAACCGATCTTCCCCTCACCATCACACTAGATGACAAACCCGTCCCGCGTAAATCGGCCATACGGGTGCTTGGCTTCACGTTGCAATCCAACGCTAAGGCAACACAAACCCTTCACCAACTCACCACCCAGTGCAACCAAATCATGCACATGCTACGCCGCGTCTCTAACCGCCGAAATGGCCTTAAAGAGGCAGATGCCTTACGCCTTGTCCAGGCCTTGATTCATACACGCCTACTCTACCACCTGTCGTACCACAACCTCACCCAGATTGAACACAAACATATGTCTACCCTACTACGGAAGGCGCAAAAACTGGCGCTCGGTCTCGACGTTCGCCCAGCCACCGTTTGCTTAGAGCGGCTTGGGGTGACCTGGAGGAACTTATAGAAGCGCATGAGGCTGCCCAGTTGACGCGCTTGCGCTCGACGGCTCAAGGGCAGAGTCTCCTTGCCACCCATGGTTTCCCACCCTGTCCTGCTTCCCTTACCGCGGCGGCTCTCTTCCCCGCTGCTCGCGCCAAACTCATTGTGGCTCCTATTCCCCACCATTTGCATCCTACCCGTCACTCGGGCCGGCGTGACCATCGCTCGCGCTACCTCCGACGCGCGTATACTGAAGGCTGCGATACCGTTCATGCCCTCTTTACGGACGCCAGTCCGCAGGATGCACGCGGGGGGATCACAGCCGTCGTGAACAGTGATCTCAGGCTGGTCCACGCTGCCACGGAACGTGGTCTCACCGACGTGTCGCTCCTGGAGGAGTGTGCGGTTGCCAGGGCAATCCTTCGCACCTCCACTCTCTCCAGTTTCACGCCCACTCACATTCTGACTGACTCCCAGACGGCCTGTCGCCACTTCCTTTACAACACCCTACATAACCCTTTACAACACCCTACATAACCCTTTCCTACGTGAAAGGTTACTAACGCCTGCACCTTACATCTCGTCACATCTCGATCATCAACATAAAATGGACGTACCCTCGTGTAAAACTACATCTTTTCATAGTTCGTTCATACCTCGCACCACTCTTGACTGGAACCACCTTCCAGCTTCTGCGATATCGATTTCCGATGGTGTGGCGTTTAAAAACTGTATTGCCAATATTTATATTCCAGAATTTGACTAACCTATTGTTATTTTTCTTGTTCTGTTTCATGTGCATATCTTAGATTTACTTTATATTATGTAACCCACTCCCCTCTGTAATGCCCTCGGGCCCTGAGGGAAAAATAAATGAAATGAAATGAAATCCCTTCACTGCGTCCCCACTCGACTCCCTTTCCTATCCTCCACCTCCCACACTTTCCGGTTAGTCTGGGTGCCTTGGCACGCAGACATCCCCGGTAATGAGTGCGCACATGCGCTCGCCCGAGAACTCTCAAACCGGGCACCTGGGGAAGACTCTGCCACTATCCGACCAGCCCCTTTTTCATACTCAACTCACCTAGCTGAGTTATGCCTCGCTTGACTATCCTCCTCCTCAGCCTTCCCTTACTCGCAGACAGGGCGTCCTATAGCGTCAACTCCAAACCAACACCTTCCCGACGCCCCTTTTCTACTTTTACGTGTACCCCTCCCGCGGTCCGCCTGGGTGCCCGCACTGCGGTGATCGTCCCATCCTTCTCCATATGGTCTGGCAATGCCAAGCCATTCCCTCTGTCTCGCCTCTTTCTAACCCCTCCCCCACCTCCGAGAAGGGGCGGCTGACCGATGACACGGCCACCGGCCAGCAATGGCTGGTGGACCGTGCGGAGTCGGTGGCCGCCACGTATGGGGCCCCGGGCTAGGCGCTCCAACTGAGTGTACTCGAACCCATACCTGCAATAAAGTTTATTCATCCATTTGTGTAGGTTATATTCTTATATTAATCTGAAACAAAATTATATTTTTTTTATTTGTCTTCCGTTTAATTGTATGTATGACGTTGTCTTTTTGTATTGCACACTAATCAGTACCCGCGAAACTCTAGCGGTAAAACAGGAAACATTTTCACCCTTACTTTTAGTGTTTTTAGAGTATCACGTGAGGCAAAAGAAGCGGGATATTCAAAACGCTGTCGTTTCTTGACACATCAGTCAGCAAACTTCCAAAGGCGCTTAAAGCGCATTGCAAACCTTTAAGATAAAGGTTGCAGTGGCGAACTGGCGGTGACCGATTTTTGACTTCGTTTGTTGCATGTACCTTTTCCTTTCATTTTTTTTTTTTCTCAGGTTCAACGTATTTTTAGGATCGATCACTCCTGTCTACGCTGAAAACATTACATGATCGGCAACTGCACGGGACTCAAGCCGGAGGTCGACGGCTGCTCGTTGTAAAGACGCTCGAATCAGAGATACGAACAGGTCGCCCTTTCACGCTGTTCCCGGTCCCGGAAAGGAGCCATGGCCTCGAGACGGGAGCAGACGGTCGTTGTGCTTTTTGTCGCCGCGTGCTTTACCGTCAGTCCGTCTTCGTCCGAGGCACAAGACAATTACGTGAGTCATTTTAGTGATCGTGCACTGTTCAGTGCGTGGCACTTAATTCAGTTTACTTTTGTGATAAATTAATAACATTATATTTATTTCTGTATGTTATTCAAAGCCCTTAAACAACGCCATTCTATGATATACGCGATATCATAAGATGCAGACTCCTGTGTTTCTATTTCCCATGTTCATGTGTGCCCGTGTCGACATTTACTGTAAGTTTCTTTTTCTACATTATTTCAATCAATACGCACAGAACGCCAGACAGAGGAAATTATGATTTGAATGGAAACGTTTGACAGATGTCTGTTTAGTCGAGACATGCAAGACTAACTAAAAAGGGGGACGTCCAATCTTTAAAGAAATGCAATATCATATATGAAGAAGAAAAAACGAACATACTGTTCCCTAACAACCATCGCACAGTCACGCCTGAAAAAGAGGCCGCGGAGGCCTCGAAACGTCGGCTCCCTAATTAGGGATTGGTAGGACGTCTCCCTTACTTATTAATTATAATTCGATTTCGCTTTGAACGGATAGGTCCTAGCAATAAGATATACACGGCACAAAATTTGACGAGCACTTTACGTCAATACCTTTATAAGCACTAAGCAAAATACCACCGTCGGAGGGCGTCGATACCCCGAGAGTGTATTTTCAGGTATTAGGGTTAATGGCATAATTACAGAAATATTCTAACCCTTTGACTCTATTAAAAATATTTTATGACTTTCGTTGTCTTTTGTATGTCTGAAATTTAAAAACTAGCTACGGCTGATAACAATAGTGATTTTTTTTTTACTAAATATGACAAAAACTTTAAATCTGTTATAGATTCTGCATGATCACCACTGCGCGGTTCTCAACCGAGAACAAATAAACAATTCTTGTTTCTGGCAGAGAAACCTGAAAACACTTACCTGAGAAACCACAATTTGATATACATATCAGGCTCTTGTATTTACACGATTCTACTGTTATTTATATAAAATATATAATTAAATAAATTTGCAACTTTGTATCAATAGTTAACACAATAAACCCTGACAGACCGCAAATCCCAGAAAAGGAATCTGTTTCCGCTTTAGCCTACTAACGTTTATAAGAAACGATAATGTGAACGTAAGTTTGTTTTGCTGTTTCAAAAACAAAATGAGGAATTGGTCGTGTTTGTTTTTCTTTCTGCACCGCCATCTAAAGTGCCTCCAGCAGTATTAACAAAGACATGCGTATTATTTTTTAGCCTTAATAAATACTTACCCAAAAAATTTTTAGAAAATTACAAAAAAAAATATATTATATTTTTGCGGTTATTCATGTTGTGGCAGCTCGTGTGCCAGAAACGCCTCAGCACCCACTCTTCCGCCTCGTGGTCATAACAAACAGTAAGATGGCTCATGCTACCGATGTTCATCGCTGGCACGAGCGTTGGCTTGTTCAGGATATTCTTAGAATGCGGCATTTTCAATCAGGCTGAGCTCTTGAGTCGATGCCACGCACAAAGGACAGAGGGCGGTGTTCAGAGCGCATGCTCAGTACGAGCTCACATTAATAGCCTGCTAAGACCGGCAACCTTGATGGTGCTAAATGCACGCTCCAAAAGAACTGCGGAAGCTCGCCGTCAGCACGCGCTCAGCGGCAGCGCACACGGATATGGCCGCCAGTGAATACTCCCTATACGCCGCCGACCATAAAAGTATCCAAGTTATTGGTACCTCGTGATCGTGTAAATGATGCCAAAGAGACAGTGTGCCAAATTACCCAAGCACCAACGAAAATCCTGGAAATGTAGGCGGGGCAGGCTTCACGTTTAACAAATTTGAAATATATTTCACTAGAATAAGAAATTTATAAACACACGTGGAAAATGTCATTTGGTTTATATTTCTGCGTTGGAACAGTTTTTGCAGCAAAGGGCCGGTGCGTGCATTGCGTGTACACTCGTACCATATTCCTTGGTGCTTGTGTGATTTAGAAAAAGGTATAATATTGACCGGCATATTGACCTTCACGGAGCAAAGTAAGAGGGACGTAGCTTTTCGTATTTAGTATGTGAGTTGTATTTAGATGATTTGCAATTATACTGCAAATGCATCACGGAAAAAAGGCAAAGGCTTTGAGTACGAAAAACAAATCGAAATTCTCCGGTTGTACTTTTGATATGTCACCGCGAACATTACGTTTTGTCTCGCTACCTCTCGTGCCATCTTCCTTTCGCCCAGCTAAGAGACCTGAAGTAATTGAGTACCAACCGAATTCATAAATACAAAAATTTATTTCATATCCTCTTGAAACGTAAACATTTTTATACACATTTTACTGCTGTAGTTGTGGAGTTGCCATTGCTTTCTTTTTCAATGCAGGATCGATATCTAACCAAGCTGAAAACTGTATCCGGACTAATTAAAAATGAAGCCCTGGCATCACGGTATCTAGAAGATATTGCGGATGACATTACTACGTTATACAGTGTTTCAGTTTACTCCAGCTGGGACTACCTCAACAATCTGACGGATCACAACCAGCAAAAATCGGTACGTCAATGCTAAACCATGCTTCTTTCTTGTGCGCTTCTTGAATTGTTTTTATATATATACACAAGGCATTTAATACTATTTCGAACGAATTTTGTTTCAAATGCGCGAGGGTTAGATCAGTGCCGTTTTCGCCATATATCTCTGAGGCTCGGCGAACAGTAATTTAGGGAATAATCATCGAAGTTTGCTGATTAAATTAAATATTTAATTACTCTTTTATTTATTGCTATTTCGGGGCATGTAATTGCAATATTGACGACCATTATAATTAAAGAGGAGGGCGATTTAAATAAATTGCGAAAAGATAATGGTTTCGAGATATTCATCCATCAATTCTTACGTTTTCTTTAGCCCGACTTAAACATCTCGCTTAAAAAGAGCGCCCCAAGCCAACAACGCTTAGAATTATGAAAGCCTCCACAAGGCCTCCTCTTTTTTCATGAAACTTCATCAGAGTCGGATCGCGCTAACTCGGCTATTGGGCCCGAGCACGACCTTCAACGCGCTGATTGGACACCAACCCCAGTCGAACACTGACACAGCACTCGTGCTCGATCTCATGCCTCGATTGATCTGACTGTAATGACGCGTGCGGAGGCCTTCTGTCTAGGCGGTGTTGCCCATGCTCTGCCCTCAATGAAACTTCGAGGGTAAGGCAGAAGGTTCAGTCACGTCGTCACTTGTATTGACGGCGCACTCAAGAAGGACACGCTGTCGAGAGAGTGGCCACATGGTTGAAAGAACTTCGACACTCTCTCAAGCGTCGTCGAGCCCAGGGCTTGCAACGCTTTCTTTAAGCGACATTCTAGAAACGACCAAAATAAAAAAACGCGGAAATTTATTGCATAAATAATATCTGGTAAACGATTACCTTGTTTGCAAATCATTTAAATTGGTCTGGCCTCCAATTATAAGATATAATGCTTGATGAGAAACTGAACTTGAAGTAGTAACCTTCGTGTGATCCTGTCATCATTTTTTTTAGTGTCTGGAATCGCCAGTGTTTCGCGACCCATTTTGTGTTTTATGTCTTGTTCGGAAGCCTTATTTTCCGAAAACGATATTTTGCACCAGTTGTCTGGAACAACCTCAGTGCCACTGCTTCGGCAACTTTAGAATGATTAAAAAAGACATTCGCGTGAAAGTTTTACGTTAGACAAAACCTGTCTCAGCCGTTCTTTTATCAGACTGTATTTAATTTTTTTTTTTTTGGTGGGGGGGGGGGGGGGGGGGGGTTGACTAAGTAAAACTCTAGATGATAAAGTTGTAACCTAATATTTTTCTTCAAGTGATTGCGTGCGTATCATGACTACTCAATTGTGACTACTCACGAAGCGTTTTTCATCAAAACAAGGGCCGGCGATAAATACATCATTGAGCCGTCTGTGGCACTGTTAGATAAGGAAATGTTATTCTTAGAGACAGGGAGTGAGGTGGCTGGAAGTGACGTGGTTTTAATAAAGTATTTAGGTCAGTCTTTTCCTAATAAGCTTTCAGTTCCGAGTGCGCTCCGCGTTGTCGTTACCTTCCGCACTTTGTCCCTGTCCTTCGGTTCCTCTATCCGGTCAATCATGCTATCTCACACTCACATCCAGATTAAAGTTCCTGTGAGACAGTTTCGCTGCAATCGCATATTTGCCCTTAATCTTATGCATTGCTTGTCCCCGCTGGTTTGCTTTCAGAACTTCTTTAATCATCTTGACACATCGTTTCTTGAAATTATGAATGATGACTTCTTGTCGTTCAAGAAAAGCATTCCACTCTAGTTATAAAGTGTTCTTGCAGTGTTTGCTGCCACATTAAATAAATAAAATAATTACCGTCATTGCTGCATATACAGCATGACCCCTAAAGTCAATACTTTAAAAGTTATTTAACAGATATTGATTAATTAGCCAACCTACATCAACGGTTATCCCCTCATCTAATGTCCTCCGCGCGTGATAAATACGTGGCGAAAACGACAATAAGCTCACTCTCACTCCATTTTTTCTAAATATGTTCGACTTAAAATCGCACACCCTGCATATATACCGGGTGTTTCATGAATGCTTTCGAAAATCGCCAAAATAGGGTGGTTCATAAAAAATATCGATGCCGGAACATAATGCCAGCGACGGCGAATGTCAAGGATTGCAAAAAGCATACTAATTAACTAATCTCTACTAAATAACAAATTTCAAGGAATAAACGTAAGAACCCAATGAGAAGCTTTGTAAGCATAATCGAAAAACACTAAATCAATTTGTTTCAGAAAGATATAGTGCAGGGTAGCATTTTACGGTTTTCCCAAAAAACGCCAAGTTTGAACGCGTTTCTAAGTTTCGGTTTGTTATGTGAGCGCATCTTTGCTGACACGGTCCTGGTTCCTGGTCTTCGAGGCGCGAAGTCACCTCGGCCGAGACGCATATTGGCCGAGACGCACAACATAGGTGTGTCATCCTTCCCTCCATCCTAGGAGGGAAGGATGACACACCTATGTTGTGCGTCTCGGCCAATGGGGAACAGGACTATAGGCGCAAAGCTGTAGGGCGACTAAAATTATAGGTAGTAGTACATGCAACTCAAAACACGGAGCGACTTGTCACGAAAACGGAGAGGAGGAGGAAGCGAGAAAACAATAGAAAACAATAAGAAAGAGCCGTTTTTGTGGAGCGTCTTCGTCTGAGCAATACGTGCTTCGTTAACACTTGGCGGATCTACTGTGCGCCATTTAAAGAAAAAAATTAACGTCGTCAGCGTTGCCGAGATTTTTGAAGTGTGGAAATCGTTGATCTCGTCGTGCAGTAAATTTGAGTGCAAGTTGGGAAGATCGGGGCAGCGCTAAAATAACCATAGTTTACCATCGCGTTAGCGGTGACAGCCGCATTGAAAAACGGTTCGAGGAAAGCAGCGAAAAAGATGAGAAACTGGCGAACGTCGTGGTGCCCGCTATTTCGGTACAAAGTTTGGATTACGCGATAACGCTAAACTACGATGAATAATAAAGCCATTTCTTAAAGGTAACAATGATGATGTTTTCTGTGCGGCAACAGTTTGGGCGGCATCTGCAAATAGCGAAGAACACACACACAAAAACTCTTCTGTGAGTCATTTGATCAATTTACTCACCAAAATCACATGTTCAGTAATTATCCACAGCGCCGATGATATGAGGCAGGATTGCACGCACATGAACTCACCTACAAGCCCAAGCTGTGCGATGGTGACAACCTGTAGCTTAAACATTATCAAGTAAAGGGCACCATGCTATAAATACAAGAAGCAAAGCTCTCAAGATCGGGAGTAAGGGAGTCTGTGTGCTCCTTCTACTAAGAAAAGAAGAGATTCGCAGCTTATAAACTAGTTTGTGAGTGACGGAGGAAGTAGAAAGATGTCTTGTCAAAACAAGATAGCTCTCCTGATCGAGGTGGTACCCAACCTGTAAACAAAAAAGAACACCAAAACATTTTAAAACACGGTTCCACATTATCTCACTCGTACGTTCGAGCATTCGCGGTATTGCTGCCATGCGAAATCCCACATCACCGACACTGTTAAAATACCAACGTAAATATGTACACACTTTTAACTATACTTCGTCTCACCCTACGATGGACTGAAATCAGAAGCTACGAACCGCCAGATCATCAGCGACATAAATCATGTCGCTTTGATGCAGGTATCGGTGCCCGCGTCTCGGATCACTGATGGGACTGGGCGGGCAGTGGTTCGGATCGAGCAATTAGTGGCTCAACGATTTTACATTGCAAAGAAAGCCACGACGTACTGGCTCTTCGCTGTATCAAAGCTATAAAAATGACGCAGCGTTTTTGGATTCGGAGCGTCATTCGTCCAGACCTAATCAATGCTAAGCGTGTCATAGTTTGGCGTGGAACGTGATTGGACCTGGCGGCCCGTCTTTTTGGCCTTTAGTCCATCGCAGGATGAGGCGAAGTATAGTGCTGACCCAAACATCGCTTCGCTGCCTCGTGACCGAGGGATTGTTTACGTGACGGCTATGGGACCCACAGCACTGCATCTGTGTTACCAGACAGACCGAAATTTGCAAACTTAACTGATGTTTACAGTTAAAAATTACTTCCCGTGCCGAAACAAAAGCAACGAGCAACTCAATAGACTTGTTTATTATTTCCCGAAAATATTGGGGCGTTTTCATTTCCTAAAATTGGAAAAAGGTCCAGAAACGTTTTATAGGCCCATAGGCGACCAGCGAAAATTCGTCACCACATATGGTGTTCATGAACCACGTGACATCGGAGCCGGGAGATCGTCCAGTTGCACGTATCTTGTTTAAGTAACCGTAGAAATATGCGCTCCCATAAAAAACTGAAACCTAAAAACCCATCAAAGTTTAGCGAGTTTTTTTAATTATGTAAAGTGCTGCCACTGGCCTTATATATTTCTAAGACCAGTTGGTCTAGTGGCTTTCGGTGTTGGTTAGCATTTCTGTCGGGGGAATATTGTATTTATTTTCACATGTTAAAAAGATAACTAGTAAATTTCAATTAACCATTTAGCTGATTCTGCAATTTCCAGCGTCTGCCGTGATTGTAAGTTTGTCTCCGAAAAGAGTGTCTTTTTTATTCAACTACACTATTTTTTATGAAGTTTTGAAAGTCTTCGCTGACACATCCTGTATGTATTTGGTGGGATCTCCAAGCATTGAATTTAGAAATTTCGGAGTTAGGTACATGGAAGGTGCGAAAACACATATCTTCCTGTACTATGCAATATACAAGGGAGTTTCAGCAGTCTTATATACGTTACTCTAGAAAAGTAATCGATTGTAATTACAATTACTCTGGGTTAAAAAGTAATTCATTAGATCACGTCAATACTTGAGAGGAAAAGTAATTGCCCGTTACTTGATAAACTAACCATTACTTTTCCGATTTCTTCAGACTTTGAAAACACAGATTTTTCTACCGCTTTGCATACGGGTATTTTGCACACTCCATTATTGGATTAGAATCACAGAATTATTACATAAAAAT